CCTCTGCCCATTAGTTGTGCCCACATGCATTGTATCAATTTTATTTTTCACTGTTTAATTAAACTAATAAGGTAATTTTTTTGTCTCACAGAAAAGTTGTGGATTTTGTCATTGAAAATTATTTCCGGGATTTAGTCAACAAGACCAAGAAGTACTTGGTAATATATCTTGCTTTTGTTTGAAGCAGCTTTTAGGATGTTTTGAAAATTCATTTTAACAGTACAGTGTGATCAGATTTTGTGAAATTTTAATGTAATGGGAACTTCCAGTATTTCCCCACTTCTTCCACTTTTTTGTTCTTACTTAAATTAAAAGGCATCTGTTTTAATTTATAACTGTGCAAATAAAAGGAAAAGGCGAACTATTTATAGTAAAAGCCTTTGGTAATATATCACATTTGTACAATTTATATTACGAATTAACATTTATCTTCAGTCTCCAAGGCGAGAGGTTCCTGATCACGTCCAGAAACCTAACTATGCAGAGAATGGTTTGTAATCAAATTGATTTTGTATCAAAGATTTAAAATACTGAACTTCTACTAAATGAGGTGCAGTCACTGGATTTATAGTTTGTTTGATTTTGAATGAATGCAAAAATAGTATTTATTTGACTCAATGCTCAAAGCTGTACTTCTTAGAAGAGAAGTTTGAACAATGGGGAATCAGAAAGATCTCTTTGCTAAGTTACAACTTTCCAATTGTTTCCCTTGTGATTATCATACAGTATGAATAAAAAAATACTCTTACTGGCCAATTCAAGCTCTTCCGTGTGATATTTGAAGAGTTAACTAACATACAAACAAGAGATTCGTGATTCATGTAAATAACTGCAGAGTGGGACCTGTAGTCAATGGTCACCCATAGAGAATGTCAGGGTGACTACTTAACACAGGTATCACATATTGGGGGTATTCTAAAAAAAGAAAAACAATGCCACTTCATGTCATAATTAACCACTTCATGTGCAGAATCTCATTCAAAAATAGTACTTACCAATACTTTGATTTAAGGTAGAGAAACATGGATTAAAAATTACTTGAAAGATTATTCTTAGTATTATTTGATTGGTTCTGCTTTCAGTTTCTGTTCAGTGCAGGGGGGGACAATTGAAAACCAGTGGTTGAGACTTGGAGTAAAGGGTGACTGTGACTGCTTAATAGAGGTGACAGCTTGCTAAAACTATTACAGTGATGAACAAGAAAATAATTCAAGACTTTAACAACTGACTGCGTAATACAGGGTGACTGCTTACTACGGTGCTGCTAGTACAGGTTGGACTGTAGTTTGGTTGCCCCTAAAGTGACATCAGAGAACTGCTTTTCGAGTTAACCAATTAAGCAAAGATGCATGACTAGCTATGTACTTGATGTTTCCACCAGGTGTTCCTCTGTCAGAGATAAAATCTAAGCAAAGCATGCAGATAAGAGTTCTAAATGAGGAGGAAATTGAGAAGATGCAGGTGGTATGCAGGGTAAGATTTATTCTTTACCTGTTGGTGTAGGGTTTGTACATGTAGTATGAGGTTGTTATATACAGGACATTTCGCTCAAAAGACTTTTCGCACAAGTCTTTTAGCACAAGTTTTGGACCGTTCGCACAAT